GGCTGAATCCTTCCCCAAACTGGTTTGTCCATCTCCAAAATCAAGACTGGGAGAGGAAAATGTTCTGGGGGCTTCTCCTTGAATATGTTTTTGGATAGGAAATGCCATAACTCTTTGTGGGAAAAAAAAATTTGTAAATAGTAAGATCAAGGTTTACAGCAAGGTCGGGAAGGTGCCTCTTGGTGCCCTTACAAAAAAAGAAAACATTGCCTTAAAAAATTTAGAAGCCTCTGAAAATCTTATTTGTGCATCCTTGATAGAGATTTTGTCCAGCAGGTCAGTTCCTATAGGATTTTGCCTGAATCGAGCACGTTCCAGAGTGGAAATGCAGCTTCTGGATGCTCTGGGCACTGCTGTAGGTGCCCAGCTCTGGGTTTGGGCTGATGAACAGGCTACCCAAGGGTCGGACACAGGGTCTTGCCAGAAGGTAAGAGACAACCTTGTGTGTAAGACAGTTGAAACTCAACCTCCCAACTTATTTGAGTCCACAAAAACCTGGTGAAGCCCTTGGTGAAGCTCTTGGTTGTAGCCTTTGGTGTAGCCCTTGGTGAAGCTGGCCACGGCTGAGCATTTCAGTCGTTTCCCATCGAGATGTTCCCCATTTTCTGGATGCCCGGCACAGATGGGGATAAATCTGAAAAGAGCCACACGCTTACAACCACAGGTGGTCAGAGCTGTGTTGAAAAGGTATGGACCACTGTTGGAAAACATGGCAGTTTTTTGAAGAATGAGGAAAATATGTCAAACTGTGGATACACCAAAGGGATTTTAGGTTCTGCATCTCTTTGCCTGTTTACCAAGTGCTGAAATGAAACCCATGCATCTTCATGGGGATGACTGACTTTGCAACCTTAGCATTGGTGCTCAGCATTGGCATGTGGGACTTGGGAGGACAAACCAGGCTATTTTTAAACAATTATTATTAACGTGTTCCAATCATTCCTCATTTGTGAAACTGGTGGACTACGGGGTTGGAGAAATCACTGGGAATTCCCCGTCGAATTCACAATTTTACAATTAGTGACTCAAACAGTGGACAAACAGGAGGTCAGAAAACTATGTGTGCTATATACACTTAAACATATGCCACTCTTCAGCGAGGGAGAGCCATAAAGGGTTTTCTATTCTGTTAACCTCCTGTGGTGGCCAGTAACCACAACAGATTTGGAAAGGGACCTTATGGGGTAACTTGAGTCTCACCTACATGAAGACATTGTAAAAGGGTGTTGGAGGAACCAGATAAGCAAGCTGAGCAAGTGGCAATCAGTCAGATGAGCCCACGTAAAAAGTTACAGGTATGATCTTGCAAAGAGTCATCGGTAAATAAGAATGAAATTTGCATTTTGCCAACATAACCAGGTCTTTTTTTTTCTGAATTGTGTTGTTACCAGCAGAACTGTGGCTTTTATAACCTTTCCTTCCTGGCCACAGCAAGCTGTCGTATGAAGTGGCTCAGCATTCAGGGTAGTTGAATGTGTTTTGCCCTCGTAGGAGAGACATTCTCCAAAACAGCTGAGCATTCGGGCTAATCAACATCCGTAATGAACGAGCAGTGTCCTAGCAGCATCTGGAACACAGCGGTTATGACAGAGCACTCTTTCGATAATGAAAAGAAATAGGAGATCACTAATCACAAACGCAGAGTAATTACTCATGTTAGGCATCCACCATTTGTTCATTGTGAGCCTCTGTGTTCATGCATTGTGGTGTAATATTTTTAAGTGGAAGCATGAGTAAGAAACCCCTGTAATACAGAGTTTGTGTAGGGGGACCACACAGAGCAGGATGCTGCTCTCTGGGCAAGATACGGGGAATACATAAGGTTAAAGCAGTTCAGAAAAAGGAAACAGGTACAAATTAAAGTGATTTTTTTTTTTTTTAATTCAAAAAGAGAGGAAGTTGAAAGGCTTACAGAAACCAATGCAGGTTAATATCACCAGTTTGAAAACATCATAGCCATGTAGAACTATATAAAGCTTGCATAAAAATGTTAAACTGTCTTTTTGTGTTTTTTTTTTTTTTTTTCTCCTTGTTAATTCTTTGGTGTGAAACGTGTAAGGACTACAGTGTGCACTTCCCCCTGACTAGTTATACTGATTAAAAGATGGTTTGTTTGGGGTTTTTTGTTTGTGGTTTTTGTTTGTTTTTTTTTTTTTTTTCCGGGAACACTTTCTGAAAAGAAACCTGTGCTTCCAAAAGACACAAAGACCAGCAGGTTAAAGCATGTGCATCTCTGCATCCACAAATACTCATTTTTGATGTAAGGTATAACATAGTAGGTAGACTGCTTTCAGGTAGGTTGGTAACATAGAAGCAATGACATCACACTTGCTGTGCAGCATGAGAGACCTAGTCATATGCTTCTGAAATTATTCCAATTTCTACAATCCTTTATCTATTTAATCTGTGATACTACAGGCTTGACATTACATTAAAAGTATTAAAAAATCTGCAAGTGGGTTAACTTTTTTTCCATGGGGATGTAATAATCATTTGCTTAAGAGATTCTTGGTTCATGTAATACCAAAATAATGGAGAAGTATTGGAAGGCACTTTCAGGTACAAATGTTTGTGCTTTATTTTATACAGTATTATGGAAATGAATTGCACTTTACCTTTGAGTTTTGAATGCCATGAATATAGGTTTGTTGCAAAAATAGCTGTGAACTGAATTAAAAATAATGAATTTAGTATTGTCAGAAATGTGGTTATATGAAATTAATGCTTTGCCATCCATTCCAATTTTTCTGAAATTATCTAGACTTTGCTGTCAGTATCTTATGCCCCAGTGTATCTTGCAGAATATTAATGAATCTAAAAATAACTTCTAAAGTTTGCAGTGGGATCATGATTGATGCAGTGTGATAAAAGATTCAGTGCAGCATCTCATACTTCTTTCACCTTGCATTGGTTTGTGGTAGCCCGGGTTCTTTTTTTCTTTACCACTTATCAGGTGTTCCTAATCTGAGAATCTAAGCAGCAAAAAAAAAAAAAAATTGCTCTCATAAACATCTGACCTGAAATATTTCCACTTAGCATGAATCATCCGGTTCAATGTGGTATTACCCTGATTTTTGAAGAAGAAAAAATAAGCTCAAATCCAATATTTTTCTTATTTTTCGATCATCTTTTCCTACTTTCAAGAACATTGTCATGGTAACTTATGCATTATCTTTTATTACTTTTTTTTTTTTTTTTTTTTTTTTTTTTTTAGCACAAATTACATATGTCATTTCTCTCTCACTCTCCCTCCAGTCCTGCTAGGAATGGCATGAGCAACTAGCTATTCCTGGGAGAAGCAAACCTGGAGCAGCCAGGAAGTGCTCAGTGCCGGGAGAGATCTTCCACCCCGATGGTCTACAAGAAGATCAAGTGTAGCTCATTGTATATTTTGACCTTCCACGGCAGCAGCTACCGCAGGTGTTTGTGTGGAAGAGGGGTGTGGGACAGCACTGCACATAGAGCCACGTGTAGCAGAACACATCCCCGTACCTTTTAACCAGGCAGCCCTGGTGAGTCACATTTGACTTGTGTGCACCAGGTGTCAAGGATTGGCCCTGCCAAACGTAGGTTTGGAAGCAAGTAATAGTAATAATAATGCTGAGGTGACTTTATCGAGGTTTCGTTAACAGGCTTTATTTATTTTCTGCCATCGGACAGCACAATAGCAGATTCCCACAGTGATGAGTAAGTAAGAGTGGTCTACGATGAAGGGAGGCTTCTGCGACAGCGCTTGGCAGCATCACTGCAAATACGACTTTTAGATGCGCCTTCTCCAAGGAAAATCCGTCCTCACGCTGTTTTTAAAAGTGTCTAATTTCTAGGTGGAATTTTGGGTTATGTTGGGATTTTTAAAAATTCCTCTTGTTCTTGGGATGGGGGAAGGTGTTAGGAATTTTTTTTTTTTTTTTCAATTAAGTTTTGCTTTTCTTTATCATGCAAGCTTTTAAGCAGGTTCAGCTAAACCTTGAGGGCAATATCTTATTGTTTCTGTCCGTGTTAGAGAAATAACTCTAAAGATGGAGCATGCTATTTTTACCATCTGGCAGTGGCCGGGTCGCTGGCATGACTGGGGCTATTTGCCAGCTTCCTTTCAACACTGGAGCCAGTGGGCTCCGCGGGCAGCTCGCTGTCGTGGCGGTGGAGCTGCATCCACTCCCCCTGCTCCCGGCAGCGCTGATGTGTCGAGGAACGACCGAAGCCACCTTATAATTTCAATCTATCGACTTAAAAACTAGCCAAGTGACCCTGACGGAGCACTGTGTAAAAAAGGTCTAGAGGACTTTGGTTTGTATTTTTTTTAACTTGCAAAGTTGAGGTGCGGTTATTACTGTCAGGTCTGTGCTACCCCTCTGCCAGTTCTCTCGGTTTCCTCACTGCCTATTTCCAGCCACTTTCTTTTCAACTACAGTTATAATCTTTCAGTGATGAAGCAATTTAAAAACGGATAGCTGAGACCGTGCAATTCTTGGTTGTGAGAATGGGAAGCTGGATTGTACCGCCACAGGCAAATCCTGCCCTGGTGCTGAGCCAGCAAGGGGAAAGCGCACCCACGGCAGCATCGGTACCTCCAGAAGGGTAGCAGGGTGTGAAATGTGGGAGCTGAGGAGGTAGTTGGACATTATTGATTTTCCTGTTGAAATACTATTACAGTTGTGACTTGTGGTATTACTTACAGGGTGATCCCCGGAAGTCTTTTACTAAAATAGTATTTAAATGGAATTAGCAACTTTGGAGGAAGCGATAGAGTTGACATTTTCAGATAAACCAAGAGATTTTTTGGTAATCCTAAATCATGCTGCTGAAGCAGGTTATATCTAAACCCATGAATACGTTTCCTTCTACTCCAGATAAGCAGTGTCTGTAAATGATAGGCTCTGGATTTACTCTGAAATCAGTAATTTGTCTTTTCCCTTTAATTAATTCCTTGGAAACAAAGTGACATTTGTTTCTGCCTGTGGGTGTAGCTGAAGATGAGTGTGCTTTGAATTCCCATGCAGGTTTGCTGTCGTGGTTGCTCATGTGTGATGGAAGCCGACCACAAGGTAAGGCTTGCGTGATGCCTTAGTGACTGGCTCCTTGTACCAAGCAGCTTTCCCCAGGATTGTTTTATTTACCCCCCACTGGCTTTTCTGTTTGCTACCTAATTTGCTTGTATTGTGAATTGTAAGATATGCATCTGGTATTAATACGTGGCCAGTTTAACCCTGGCCCTGCTGCTTTGATGTCAGCAAAGCCTGCAATTTCTTTAGTGCACTTAGAATAAAAGTCAAAAGTGGGTTTTAGATGCATGTTTACAGAGATAATTCTGTTTGAAAGAAAATGATTGGTTAGCTTGCAATGCGCGTGGCTTTAAATATCCTTGTGTTCCTTCTAAGTACAAGACATATTGTCCAGACATATAAATATGCCTGAAATCCTCCGAAGGGAGGTTGCCCTCCTCTATATTTCGGTGCTTTTCCCTGCTACAAAGAACCGGCCTGTCTGAATAGGATGCCTGGCACCTGATTTTGCAGCAGGAGGGTGTCCGCAGCTGGGTGTGCTTGCTGGGCAGCGGGCAGCATCCATGGGGGGAGCGGTAAAACCCCGCCGGGCTCTCCCACCCACCTCCCCTCACCTCTTCCCAGGCTCCCACCACGGGTCACCGGGGGCTGGCCCACCCACGGCACGTCAGCCCGATGCAGTCCGTGGGTGCCCACCACGGCTTCTGCAGAGGAGACCGGGGCAGCAGCTCGGGTGGTTCTCTCCCAGCATATCACGGTAGAATATGAGATCATTTTTGAGGTATTCCCCGCTGGTTTTACTAAAATGCTGAGAGGTTTGACAGTCATGACTCTGGAGTCTTTATTTACCAGTGATGCACTTAATTACTTATATAATATAGGTTTGGTGTTTTTCCTGGTTAACAGACGAGGTAGGAGATTTGCTTGGCTGCAGAACATTCAGTGGTCCGGAAGGAAAAGTGACATGGAGTAGCAAAACCATGGTTATTTATTGCATAGCCATGAGAAACTCAGAAGTTGTTAAAAAGCAGCAAAACTCGTTTTTGTAGGAAATGTTATGCCAGAAGTTCACCTTTTCACACATCCAATTAAGAAGTGGAGAAATAAGTTCCTTTTTATTTTAATCATGTATCACTGAATGATTGGGCTTCAGCCCAAAAACAAGAGGCAACACTTCTGAACTCTACTCCATTTTTAATAACTTTTATTGAAATTCTGGCTTCTGCAATTCTTTTAATTAAGAAAAAACCCTCCGTAAGTAAAGCACTTTGCTTACTGCAGTATCAAAAACTGCTAATAAGGATAACAAGACTTCCTTGCTAGCAAGCAAATGCATAACTATGGATGTAAAACTGTTTTATCAGCTAGTCCTTTCCAAAATCACTTGATGTTTTTGTTGACCCAAAAAATTAGGATGGTTGAAAATTAATGTGGGTTCTTAATCACAGTGAAAGGTACCAGGATGTTTGAAGGCAAGTTGGGTTTCTGGTGACATTACAGATTTGGTTTTTGCATATGCAAGGGGCAGATAAATCCTTAAAATATCCTAATCTAAGGCAAAACCTAATCCAGGAGAATAAAACATCTTCCAGAGCAGTTAAATTACATCGAATTTCAGCCTCTGCAGAGCAAATGACTGCATTTCCTCTACCTAAGACCCAAGAAACCACGATTCTCACATTGTTACGGGAAGCAGCTGCCTCAGTACAGAAGTCCATGTCTCTACCTGGCTGACTGTCTGTCTGTTTGCATGCAGGCATCAGAAGTTGGTGCTTTTTCACTATCTAAAGAGTTGGCTTTCCTAGTAGTTCGTTCCAAAGTACATCCCTGGTGAGGAATAGGAGGGAAGACTGGATAGTTCCTTTGCGATTAATGATCTTAAGAGCACTGCACCAAGTTGAGAAGGCTTTTACACGTGGGACTGGTGCACTGGCTGGTGCTTGCCCGTCATGGGGTGTCTTTGAGGTTTCTCCTTCACCCCGGGTCACTCAGCACAAGCTCCGTGGGTCCCAGTTTGCGGCATCTCTGCCATTCTACTTCCAGAGGATCTGAAGCAGTGCTTCTCCCGCGGTCCCTTCTCGGCAGTGGCACCCAGAGCCTGGGGGCCCCCGGGGTCCCCAAATCAAGCAGTCGTGAGTGGGCTTGTTCCCACAGGTTGTGGGCCCTGCACTTGCTCCGGGCATATCCAAAATCCTCAGAGGTGAGGACGGGCACACAGACAGCATCACCGGTATTCTCTCTGCGTAGGGTTTCAAATATGAATATGAAATAGCATCTAACCAGGCAAACCCTGCACTTCTCTCTGTCTCAGTTCCTTGAGCAGCGTAGAGCGCTCCCTGGGTGAAGGTGAAGTTGGCTTCCTCTCCCCTTGCCCGTGACACCTCTGCTGAACCATGGAGACCTGCTCTCCTGGTAGCCAGCTCTCAGCTTGGCAGCTCTTCTCTGATTTAATGGAAGAAAGCCCCCGGTCCCTTGGACCCACCTGGGTTGTGAGTTGTTAAGGTTGTCATTAACACCTTGGCGTCTTTGTTCAGTTGCTGAGCAATTTTTATTTCCTAGCCCTTGGTGCAGGGTTCTCCTTCTCTCAAAGTTTTGCCCGAGCTGTTTCCACCTGAGTAGGAAAATATTCGCACGTAGCAACCTTGACTGTCCTTGGGCCATCGAGCCTGAGGCATGGCACCCCACTGATTGCACCCACACCAGCATCTCCCTCACGACCACCGTTTGCTAGCAAAGCTGACTCCCTAACTTCTGCCTTGGGAGATGTCCCAAGCCACCAGCCTGGCCCATGGAACAAGCCTTAGTCCAGACACTTCGGGATCCAAAGCAAGTTTACCACCAACTTATGTTGTAGTCCTGGCAGTGACCAAGTTCCCTGAATGCTGAGTGGTTTAGGAGATCTCTGAATCAAGTGGAAATGAATAGAATAACATGATACATGAATTCCGAGAGAGTTTTATTTTTGTTCTTCCAGTATAGTGGCTAGAACTGAAAAATACCGGATGTGTCAAAGTTGCTGGGAACCATATCAAGTAGCTGGTCAAACTGATGCAATAGAGAACAACTGTAAAGTATTTTTTTTAAGTTTGAATGTGTGAGGATTGGTTTTCTAAAAATACATGGTTTTTTAAGTGTAGTTACTGAGATACAGAAAGCTGTGCTTCTCTTGGTCTCATATAAATATTTTTGCAGCTCTCTCTTGTTCCTGAAAAAGAAAAAAAACCTAGAAGACCTAAATCATGGCTGGGGGGAGTTTAAGTTTTATGGATGTTTGCTTTGCAGCTCCGTTTTACAGCCCAGGCTCAGGGGGGGAATGGGAGGAGGGGTGGGAAGGCATGGGGGGAGAAACCCAAGGTGGTCACAGGACATGGACATCCATTCTCACACCTTTCTGAGAGCGTCGAGCTTGGCTTTCCAACCTGAAGGTGGGGATGCACGTGCCGTTCCCATTGCACACGCCCTCACAACCCTCCTCGTGCGCATACGCGCGCCTTTTTCCAACGACCACAGCCATCTCCACGAAGGGCTAAGCTGATTTTGGTCTAGTAGGCAAGCATGCCATGCTTTGGGGCTTCAAGGCACTGCTGCTACTCGTGCTTCGGGTATAGAACATTCACCACAGCAGGTCCCCTTCCAGTGAAGAGGCTCATGGCACCATCAACGCGTGTTTGGTGACTTCGGGTAAGTCTTTGGTAGCCTGTTGATGTTCTTGTTTGTTAGCTGTTGAGTTTATTTTTAATGAATGATTCATGCCATTTTGGGTTTGCTTAGCTACAAGAGATCCAAGTGGGCTGAAAATTTCTACAGGAAGTATCAAAAGGGAAGCCTTGTTTCTTGCTGAGAAGGAGCAGAGACACCAATTTTGTCTTGCTCCTGGAGGACACCTTAGGGGAGCGATGGGAACTTTTAATTTCACAGCTCCATCTTCTTTTTTCTTCCTTTTTTCTGCTTCTTTGGAACTTTGTGGAGGATGTAAACAAAGTATTAAATAAAACTAAAGCCCAATTCCAAGTGCCCAATTTACAGCCCGCTCAATCACGTTTTAGGGTGGTCCACATGAGAGCGTGATAACTATTTAGATACTGTCCAGTCCACATAGGAAAATTTTAGCTGCTTTATAGATAAAAGTATGCTTAATGAGTACACTTACACTTCTGTAAAGTGTCATGAAGAGACTTAGTGTAATCCAAGAGTGTCCCTTTGCTTGAATTTGCATTCCTTTTAATTGACAAAACCTGAAGAGGGAAAAGAAAAAAAAAAAAAAAAAAAAAAAAGTCTCTTTATGCCTTAGGCTCATGCAAAAACATCTCTGCAAGAGCTGGGAGCTTCGGTCTTCTCCTGTCCATTCACACTCAAACAGTGTGATTAAGCCATAAAATCAGCTTCTGCAGAGTTTGCAGTCTGCAACGGGCACATCCCGGCCGGGGGAGGGCCACTGATGGGCTCACGCATCTTGAGGTGTGCAGCCGTGGCTGGAAAGCCGCAGAAGTCGGCGGGAGTTTGATCTTGGAGTTCGTTCAGCCAAGGACTGTGACCTAGGGCTGTGTGGTGTGGTGCCGCAGCTCATTCCCTGACAGGTCAAGATAGAAATCAGCCCGTGGCCGTGGCACGCGTGTTGAGGAAAGGGAGGTCAGGTTATGGAGATAGGAGCTGTTTTCAGATGTTGTCTGTGAAACAAGACTTGTAACGTGTTGCGGATACCGGGGTGATTTTAGGTTGGTTGAGAAAAGCTTCTGCATTAGCTCTTCTGTGAAAGTGAGCTCGAACTTTTCGCCAGTCAGGTCTGGGAAAAGAAGGATGCTAAAACTGGGGGGGGTTAGGTGAAGAGGCATTGGCTTTGCAGTCCTGATTTGCAGCAGTTGCACCGGGTGGGCTGACACTGCCCGCTTCTGCCCGTTTCAGCGGAGAATGATTTACTCCAGCAAGGGTCTGTGATCCGGTTTCAGCTTCACAAAGCCTCAGGGTTTAACTGATGGATTGCTTGAGATTTTACTTTTGCAGTGCTTCTTTAATCAAGGAACATATAGAGAGATATTTCAGGG